CGGATAAGCAGACACGAGATAGCATCAAATACAAAATATCTGTAGGTGACAACTGGTTCCCGTGTGATGATGAGCAGAACCATGAGCTTTCACAGTTCGCTCAAGCTACATCCATTCCACTTGTCGCTCATGTTTTGGGACTTCGACTGGCGGCAGTTCGTCCAATATCCGAATCGTCTGCTTACGTGCCTCCTGAATGGTCTTCATTAACCTCACATTAAGAGCAGCTCATGCCACCACGGTCAACGGTTCATTGGGCAATGTTCAACGAGAGCGATCTTTAGTGATTTTTGAAGGGAGCGGGACAAGGATAGGAGCAATGGAGCCTGTAGTTTTGGAGGGTGATTTACTGGGATCTGAGAGAGTTCAAAGATTTTCAAAAAATTGTGATTTCCTCCATTCCAGCTGTATAAGTAGCTCATCGGTCCAAAAGACTTTTTGAAGGGAGTGTGTAAGATGGACCAGATTTTACTACAGGAGGGATGTCCACCGAGAGAGGTCGCCCTCAGGGGGAGGTGATGCTTATTTCGAAATTTTTCCGACCAAATGACTCCCCTATGTCGTATTAGTGTGCGGCTGGGACTGAACAGGCCGCTAGCCGTCGAGAGCGGTTCTCACAACGGAGATTGCTTCACTCCTGTTGGTGCTGACTGTATGGACCCGCGCAAATCGTCCCACCCTCACTTACGACGTAACTTTTCCCTTCTAGTGGTCGTTTTCCTGAAGCATATGTACTATTTATAAATTGAAGTGGTTGAAATGGTTAAACTGAAGCGTGCCTTCGGAATCTCTATTTTTTATTTGAAAGTGGTTGCTCGGAGCTAGCCTATGGATGTGCAAGTTTCGTAGGAACACCCCGATGGGCAACTCACTGGAAACTCTAGCAACTCTCATATGTATGCTCTCAAATAACTCATACAGTATAAGACCCACGTCTGAGTTCTATCGGGAATCGAAGAGAAAGATGGCGGTAGCTACGATTAGGACCATGGCTTGCAAGATGCTTCATGGGCCTTTCCACGTCCCCACTCCATATTGGGATTTTGTTGGAAGGTGTAGCAAACAGCCCCATTTTGCCGATTCGTTTGAATAGCTGCATAGGAATAATTTGGAATTCTTGCGCACCAAGCTTTTTCTGAATGAAACAGCAAAACAAACATTCACAGTCACAAAATTCGCGTAAAGAAAAATGTTGGATACAGAAGAGGGGCCAGCAAAAGAAGCGCACATTTCAAGGCGACTGGCAGGAAGCTCAAGAGTCTATCAAGCACCACAGAATTGGTAGCAATAGGTTTAGGCACTGAAAGGACGTAATTGCGGAATGCGCGTTCAACCATCAAAAATCTGTCGGATAAGTTTTCAAGGAAATCCAGCAAAAATAAGCCAAGCGGTGCTCTAATACAGCCAAAAACGTTTTCAAAATGTCGAGAAAAACTAGAAAAGAAATAAAAGTTTGAGTTGTTTCGTTTGTTAGCAACTGTTTCAACGACGCATTTTATGTTGGGAATGTTCAAAAAATGCTAGGTCATAAACAAAACTTTCTCCCCCGGCGGAACTCGAACCCGCACTCTCGCTTACCGGCTTTGGTAACGTTTCGCCCTAACGTCCTGATCGAAGTTTGCGAGCTTATCTTAATCAATGGACAGCTCGGATCATATTCATCAGACACCGAACATGCCGGCCTCTTGAAGACATCCTGAAGGTTGAATCTTGAGATGTGATCTACTACTCCTGGAGGCACGCCCCAGGATCAAACTGGTGTGGTTTCTGCGCATGACTGTGGATGTATCGGTGCCGGAATGGGCCGGCAGTGAAGAAAAAAGGAAAAGAATCCGTCGAAAACGCTCAGGTTAAGGGCTCACTCCTTCCTAATGGCTGTGCTAAGGCAAACTAAGCGTGGAGAGGAGAGCATGAGGCGAGATAGTGCAACGGGTGAGAGAACGCCAGACGACAGTATGCTGCGGAGGGAGAAAACTGAAGCTGTTGAAGCCATTTTTTGCAAGGCTCTTGTCAGGCGATTTCCATGCCACGGAGTACCATACATACATGTGATTGTTTCGGAGGTCTATATCACAGACAAGAAGAAATCATTCACCCAACTCCCCTTGCTGGGGTTGTCCCTTTCGATTGCGATATCAGGACGTCCACGTACTAAGCTTGTAGGGGTCGAGGGACCATATGACAGATCCGGGGAAAGTTTGTTAAATTGATTGTCTGAGCTACCAGTTTCTTAAATTCGGTCGGAAGTATCACGGAGGAAGAGTTTCTTGATTTCTTTGGGTGTACGTTTTTCCGAAGTCAACCAGTTCGCTTCAAATTTGATTTGTTGGGTATTTCTGTGTTGCAAACAATTTGTGGTACGCATCTTCTTATACGAACTATTTGGAGTAAAAACTGAAAATTGAAGGCTAATTTTCACAAATGACGAAGGCTAAAGAGCCACGATATGTGCCATTGATTGGAATTTGCTGTTAACACATTGACGACAACGCGAGTTTTGGCTTTTTTGGCCACGTGGGACCGCGGCGATTTTGCGGGCGCGCTCGCCTCAGGTCGTTCAAGCAGATTTTGAGTGATAAATACACAACTAATGATCAATTCGAAACCAAATCAGTAAATTGTAATGAGCGCAACCTACCAGTGGAACTTCAGATCGAAAGACATGGAGTAACAATGAAAAAGCGAAATTTATCAGAACTAGCTGCAATGGAATTCAAAAGCAATTTTACGGCGATTATTCCAATCAAAACACACATATTGTCATCCCTAAGGTTCCTTATCTACTTCTACTACTATTTAAATCTTCACATTAATAAAAAGAAAAAGTAAACGAAAAATTTATTGAAATGAAGATTTCGTATGGTTCAGAAATCCTCCTCTAAATTAAAGTATACGTGACCATTCTAAGGGCCACTATGTTTGTAGCTACGTCAAGGTCTCTTCCATGGAATGAATACAAGAAACTTCTAAAAGAATCAGGCGTGCGCGAAAAAAATGAGTGTAATGGGTGCGGGGGATATATATCCCGCACGGTCCGACATGGCCTGCAATGCGCGGGATATATATCCCCGCGTTGTCGTCAATGTGTTAATGATCAAAAAACCAGAAGCTGCAAACTGAAATGGATTCAATGAAAATTCCAAAATAACTAAGTATTCATAGTTTGGAAATAATTTTAGAAACTCTATTAGCCAGCCCGACGCGTTTTTCAGTACTCTGGGAATAAAAAATGCATATATCATACATCAAAGCTCTGCTATATTAAGTATTGACGTACATGCTCATATTTCACTGCTAGCGCCCACGATTATTACTCTGTACTGCATACCTTGACTGCTGTTTCCTTCCTTTTCCTATCCACTTGTTCTTCAAGCTTTCCTTTGTGTCCTTTCACGAGCTTTTCGTGGCCTCTTTTTATCTGAATAGAGACAGGTTTCTTTTAGATAGTATATGAATTTTCAAAAGCTGACATGTCATTTTTTCGAGCGCAAAAGGGACAAGGAGTTCAGGAACAGTCGCGTACGGTCGCGTTGCGGCGGTAGAAGAATTTCTAGGAGACTGCATAGTTTTACATGGAAATGCATTATTTATTCAAAATTGGTTACAGTCGCAAAAAAAGTAGGTGAAATAAGCAGATATGTCAACCCGTTGTGAAAGATTGGGATGCGAGATGGCCTGGTATAATGAAGGTGGATAAAAGTGAAATTTGTCTAGGATATCATTTTTCGCAAAAAGCACCTTGAGGGTTACAGCACTGAACTCCTGACTAGAAATATATTTATGAACTTTATAGGCGAATTGGTACTCTTATCCGCGACGCGAACGCGCGCGACAGTTGCTGAAAATCTCCATCACCACCACTTTTAAGGCGGGAAATTGAGCGTGATTATTTTTTTCAAATCCGTTAAAATCACATTCTCATTTGTTTATAGAATAAAACTGATTCACCCTGCTGGAAAATTCAGATATAAAGCCACTTACGACTTCATAGATAGTGAAGGCGTAACCAAGTCCTCCTATGGCAGTCAACGCAATTCCAATAGAC